TAGCCCGCAATTGGCCAAGCAGTCCCTAAAGTCCTCCATTTGAGCAAACGGTCTCGGGTTACCTCCTAGTTGATCAGTTTGGAAGAGGGCCTCCTTGTAATCACCTGCACAAATCCAAGGAAGATCGTCTTGTGCCCTCAAAAAGCGAATAGCATCCCAAGACTTCTTACGTAACTCCGTCTTAGGCTCACCATAGAAACCAGTGAATCTATAGGTCTTGCCCTCCCAAGTCATCTCCGTATCGATGAAGTATTGGCACCATGGCCTCACCTTGACATGCACGTTCTCCCTCCACCATAGAGCTAGACCACCGCTCAAGCCTTGGCAATCCACCGCCACACCACTTTTGAAGCCCAAACTCCATTTTATTTTCTCCATCGCTCTCGCCTTCTTCTTTGTCTCCGAAAGAAAAACCACTACTGGGTTGTATGACCGTATCAGGTCCCTTAGTTCGCCAACTATCGAGTCCAACCCCAATCCTCGACAGTTCCAGGCCAAGAAATTCATGGAGACCGGCGGCCCCCCTCTTCAGGGTCCGCTGATGAAGCTTTGATCTCAGAAATACAATCAGAAACTGTAGAAGTTTTCCTCCTGGTGTCTCTCACAAACACATTATTTGGCATCTGTTTGTCCGGACCATTCTTTGCCACCCAGTACTGCCTAGGCCCCCTCTTTCTCCCTTCGTTCTCCCAAGTAGTGTATCGTTCAGCATGTGAGACCGGCCGGTATTCCTGTCTAGGCTTCCTGACAAAATGCCCCCTCCTCCTTCCCTCTCTGTCACCATATGGCACCCTTCCAACCCCCGTCTCATACCTCCCTCTGTTTCCCCCACTTGAGCTCATATTGTAGGCATCCTCCTTGCCTTTCCACCCCTCCTGTCTGTCCCGGGGGCTGCTTGCAAATCGATGTTGCTCATGCAGTTTATATCTCAGCTCTCATTCACGTTTTTGCTCGAGATCATGTCGCAGATCGTGTTCCTCTGCCCTACTCGGCCTTGCATTATCCTTTAGTGGGCTTGTTACTTCTCCTCTGTCCTCCCTTCTAGCATCGCCAGTGCGGATGCCCTCTGACTTGGCAAAATCATCATGAAGATTGCGCTTTGTAGGAGCAGCCGTGTTGCCTGTATTAGTCTGACGCCTTGGGTCGTTGTTGCCCGTGCGCCTGCTTCCCCAGTTGTTGCTACTCCCCGCTGGTCCAGAAGAAACTCCTTTTGCCCCATTGTTCCTCCCCGGGGATGCACGTAGCCACCCTCTCCCCCCCCCAATTGAGAGTTCTGGTCTAGGGAAGGGATGCACACTCCATCAACATGAACCATCCTCCCGCATTCGAAGCAAAAGTGCGGTACCTTCTCGTAGTAAAAATCAAACCACGTGCCAACTTTATCATCTCTCGATGTTTTCAGGTAGAAACCCCTCACCAAAGGTTCAAACACATTAATTTGTGCACGAACTCTGAGAAACTGTCCCCTAGCAAGTCCATCCTTGTCTGTGTCCACTCGAACTATTTCACCAAGCCAGTTCCTGAGAGCTCTGCCAAAAGTTTCTGTCCTTTTATCAGGTGGTAAATCATCCACTCGTACCCATATATCAGTTCTATCAAAAACCATCTCCGACGGCCTCCTTTTGCCTTCATACTCCTTCAAGATCAAAACACTGAAATCGTACTGCCATGGACCATTATTCATCGCATGCTTCCAGTCACCCTCGCTTCCAAAATGAACTTCGAACGTATTGGATCCCAGATCTGCGAATTTGGCTACTTTGTGCAAGCCCCAAGCACGCTGCATTGCACGTTCTACTGCACTCATAATCATCGGCCTAGCCGAGCATACTTTCCCCACAGCTGACCACCGAAAATTCCTCGGTGGCGTCTTCTCTGGTTCTTCAAACACAAACCCTGCAGCTTCCTTGTCCATCAGCACCATGCCCCCTAGTCTCGCCGAAAGACTCGACGTGGGATCTGGGGTTTTGCTCTCAACCGAGGACTTTGAAGGAGCCCGGCTAGCTGTATCATCAGTCATGCGCTTTGGCATAACCACTTCATCCTCCGCTCCGGCCGTTGCGTTCTTCCTGCTCGACGCCAGTGCCTCTTGCACGCCCTTCGTGTTCTTCTGATTTGCCGTCCCCGAGCCGGATGCATGGCTAGATTGGCTGGTAATTTTCTTCTGAATCGCCTCGTCCACCTTCTCTGATGCAGCGTTCTGTTTCCCTGGTGTCGCCAACGCCGCCGCCGCCGATGAAGATCCCATCTTCCCTGAAACCCTAGTCGCCTTTCCTCCTGCCTCCTCCGACATCCGCTCCAGCAGCGAAGAAGGGAAGTCGCCGGTCGGTTTAGAGGGCAGCGCCGTCGCCTCCCCCGAAGACCACCGAATCCTCTCTCACCCCCGCAGCGCAAACCCTAACCCTAGCGACTACGGACAATCGCCATGCAATCGCCTTCGTCGCCCTTAGAGTTTCCTGCGTGGTGGACCCCTACCCATCCCTCTCGCTCTCTCGTTTGTTGCCTTGTATCCGGTGCTTATTTGGTTCAATGTTGCTCCATATTACTCCACCGCAGGAAGAAGTCATACCAAATTTTAGGACTCCACCAAAAAAAGCCTTGTTTCAGTCGGTTGAAAAAAAAATGCAAACTTGAAATTTAATCTGCTGCTACATGACGTTCTCACTTAATGTTGCATCGTCCAAAAATTGCATGGATGTGAGTTTCAAAAAAAAATTGCATGGATACAATTTTTTTTCTAGTACTATAGTTACGTGCTAGTAGGGTTTTTTAACACAGTACGACACAAGCGTTCATATACACGCTCATACACTCACCCATATAAACGCACACACGCACACCCTACTCCTATGAGCACCTTCGAAAGACTGACCCGGCATATCATCTTGAAATTTACGAAGTCACCTTAGGCACCTCGTCGTCGACGAGAACGTCTCCTTCCACTGAACGCGCATCGCCGGAAATCCTGAAATAAATCTAGGAATAAATGCAAGCACCAGGATCAGTCCTAGTAGTTCACCGTCTACGTGATCAGCGTGGCCGCTTAATTGTTAAGATATGATTAGCTGCATTTAGATGAGGGTCCAATTAAGATTTGTTTCCTGATCTGTTACATTCACAAGGCTTCAAGGTCAAGTTTTCAAGATGTGCGCCACGCCTATATAACAGGCTGGCTTCGGCCGTGTATGGTGGTTATATGTTTCTACAGTTTAGACAACATGTGTATCGACTATTAAGCGACCCTCAAACATTCCAAGTACTTCAAGAACTTCTTTGAGTTCGTTGTTATTTACTTTATGTAAATTTTCTGCGTGAAAGTTGCACTTGGCTTGAGGTTTGTCATGTTCGACGGGTTGCGCGCTGGTTACGTCGACTTCGACAGGAGGTTTCTCGTGTCAAGGATTGTCCGTTGGTCATCGTTACCCTAGCTTCGGGTTACGCATACTTCTCAGGTGATTGGGAGTATTTTCTATCGGTGGATATCGGAAGTTATTGCATTGTAAAAGATCGGGTCAAATCATCGGCACATTTGAGGTCGTGCCCTCGTCAAATATGGCTGGTGCCAAACGTGGTGTTTCTCGGGACTACTTTGAAGAGAATGAGATTGAGCAAGTAAATTAAATTGACAACAATATAAAGGGCATGAAAGGAATGTGTGTTAGCCTCTTTATTACTGTCCTTTATATTGGCGTGCCATATATTTGTAGAAGGCCACAAGAAGCTAAAGTTTTCTTTCGTTGTAAAATTTAGCAGAGCTAGATTTTGTAAGGGCATCTTGAAATGTGGAGGCCGGGAGACCAACTATTCCATGAACTAAGAAAAGGGAGCGGAAGGGTTTTATACTCTCCAAGACGCAGCCTATACCCTTTTATATGTGATCTTTGCAAGATCCGTATATGCGTAAAGCCCCAAACAAAGTGAAATCTTCAGCTGGATTGGTGGTGGCGCACCACCGTACCAGCCTCCTCCTCCTCCTCCTTGAGCTCCCATCCGCCCCCTTGAACTTAAGCGCGAAGTAAAGAAAAGAAAGACCAGACCACAACAAGTGTAAAGCAAAGGCCTCCTCTCTTTAGCCTCCAAATCCTCCTCTCTTTTGTCGCTGCTTTGGTCCATGCGGGCTTTCTTCTTCTGGACCTTTCTGAAACGTACGGCGTGTGGCAGCCACTGAAGGAGTTTCAACTTTCAATGCAGCAACTTAAGTGACCCTTCAACTTGCCGAGCTGATCAAAGTTAATCATGTGGTGGCAGGGAGTGAACTGAGCAGACGACTGCGACCCCAGATCACAAGTCAAATGAGTTGAGGCGCCACGGTTATCTGCTCGCAGGAAAACCACCTAATATTGCGTGACGTTTCTCCTCCACCCACCGGCCCCCAAGCATGCGGTTTCACTCTCACGCACGACTCGCCAGGTCAAGCTTTCCTACCCCACGTCTCTGTTGCAGGCGACTTGTTCGTGTTATACTGTCGTCACTACCGCTCCAGGTTTGTCCTGTCCTGTGGAAGAAATCATGGAAAAATCTTACAGTTCTCACGTGCCCAAAAAGAGAGGAACAAGGAGCATTCGCCAGGCTTCACTAGAAGCTTCTAGAACCTTCTCAGCTATCAGATGAAATACAAGGTACACATACCGACCATTCTGCTACCACAGTATATTAACAAAAGGTAGAAAAAAGAAGGCTGAGAGAAATTTTATGAAGGCCAGCCATGCATAGGGAGCACAGCACAGGCTGCATGCATATTCTGATGATGACAATCTATATCTGTAGAAGATGTATACAACACGACCGTCGCCTACTGGCTCCTGCCGATCTAGGGACACCAGCTTATTGGAATGTATACGGTAAAACCCATAGCACCTGGAGGGTCGAAGCTGTTTACTCTGAGCGCCAATCCCTTTCTTTTTACATCCGTGTCGTGTGGCGCCGCCAAAAAGACTGACGATCCAGTCGTGTGGCGCCGCCGAAAAGACTGAGGATCCATAGAAGACCAGAGATCACCCTCATATGGCGTATATCCGGTCTATCTCGGAATCTGACTCCGAGTTGTGGTTCCATGAGTTTGAGCCGCTCCGCCTTGTTGACTTCACCTTCTTCCTAATCGATCGCGTGCGCTTGGACTTCACCACATAGTATGTCATCGTACCGAGCACACTGGCCATGATCACCCCGCCGATGAGGGTCACCAGCATCGCCGCCCACTTGAAGTGCCGACCCACCACTATGTAAGAGGAGGATATGAATGCCACCGTGGTGCATACAGAAGCCAGCCACATCAACTTGTTGATCACCTCCACAACTCGCCTCTCTGCTTTCGTCTCGCCCCTAACAAGTGTTATCTGCACCACCACTACTGCTAATGATGTGAACAAGGCGATGGCGTTGAAGATGAAGAAGACCTTGAAGGACACCGCATGCACAACTATTGCGACACCATGGTCGTCGTTGCCTCCTGGCACCGTGAATATCGCAGCAAATGCAACTGTGGCGAAGAGCACAGCCACAACTGTGACAGAGTTTGTTGCATTGTTGATGCCTTCCCTGTGGAGCTTCCTCAGTTCCTTTGCTATGCCATGCACATTTTTGTTGGTTTTTCTGGCTTGCTCAAGTTGAGTGTGTACGTCCTTCTTGATCTCAGTCACTGTTTTTCTCAGCTCATCCCGAGGCTGATTCAGATCATTTGCTCTCACTGCACCAGCACGGGATAAACAATCCTTTATATCTGCAGACTCTTCTGATAGCGGAAGACCCTCTGCTATGTCAAATGCAGTCTTGCGATCCCTAGTCAGCGCATTCACGTTCATGTCCGGAAGAAGCAGAAGCTCATTCACAATCTGCAACAGGCACCAGTTTGTGAGACACAAGAAGAAAATTATTGCGTTTTGAGCACAAGATCTAACATGGCAGAAGAATACCTCTGATCTTTTCTTCCTGGTGGCAACATGCAAAGCTAAGTTGCCATTTTTGTCAGGTAGCATAACTATGGCCGGATCAGCATTCACGAGTGCTCTAACAACCGCAGCGCTTGTTCCTTTAACCGCCATGTGCAAAGCGGTCTGTCCTTTCTTATCAGTCTTCCGAGCAAGCTGAGCTTCACTGACTAGCAAGGACTTAACTATTTCAACATGCCCCTGACGGGCAGCGAAATGCAATGCATTCTTTCCGTTCGCCTTTGATAGTTCAACCAACCCAGAAACTCGCTCCAGCAGAAGGTTCACTACCTCGAGGTGGCCTCTAATCGCCGCAGTTATCAGAGGAGTCACATTTGATTGGCCAAACGTCTTCCCAAGGGATGGATCATGGTCCAGGAGTACCTTCACAATATCTACAAGCAGTGTTAGATGTCCATCTTTCTTTATATAAATACCACAGAAATATGGAGTAAAGATGAAACAGCATGAATGTTGGACCAATTCTTGCTCATTAGCTTGTGTAGGCAATGACACACTGCAGTTATCAACTTACCATACAGAGCAGGTCAATTTCAGCACTGCAAAACTGATAGCAACGGGATCCATGGAGATTGATCAAAGAGCAGATTAAAAACACATAAAACCTTGGCTAGACCCATAAAACCATGGCGATCAATTAATTTAGGAATCCATAAAACCCTTTCTTCACGCAAACTATGAGATTCTAGTCTAGACACAAACAAGGTCCAAAGCTCGCCTGTTCCCATTTAAAGAAAGATATGAACAATCAGCAAATCAGAAGTGGTTTAGTATTGAAGTGTTTGTGAGTGCTCACCTCGGTGGCCTTCCTTTGCAGCGACGTGCAGAGCATCGAATCCTGATTTGTTCTTCCTCGCAAGGCTCTCCTTGTCAGAGTGCTTGAGCAGCTCGACGACGACGTCGATGAACCCTTTCTCAGCGGCGATGAGCAGCGCGGTCTCCCCGACCTCGTTGGGCTCGTTGAGCACGGCGGCGCGAATCTCCGCCACCTCGCTGTCGAACTCCTCGCCGGTGCCGGTCATCTGAGCGTCGATTTCGGCGATGATCTGGCGCACGGCGTCGAGGTCCCCGCGCTGCGCGGCGAGGTGGAGCTCCGTGTCGTTGTGTCGGCCCGTCACCTGCTTAACGTACTTCTTCCGCCCCGCCTGGTCCATCCGCTTGCCGGAGTTGGAGAGCACCAGCACGGGCGGCGCCGCGGCGCCGGCCTTGGGCGACGGCGACGGGGACGCGAGCGACTGCTCCAGCCGCTTGCTGGAGCCGGACATGACGAGCGCCGGCCCCTTGGCCGGCGTCGGGGACGAGGACGACGCCGGCGAGTGGTCGAGGCGGTTGCTGGAGCGGGACATGGCCAGCACCGGGCGGCCGGGCGGCTGGCCCAGGCGGTTGCTGGAGCGGGACATGGCCAGCACCGGGCGCGAGGGCGAGGGCGACTGGTCGAGGCGCTTCCCGGAGCTGGACATGACTAGCGCGGGGCGCCTGACCGCCCGCGACGGCGACGGCGACTGGTCGAGGCGCTTCCCGGAGAGGCAGGACTCGAGCGCCCGGCGGCCTGGGGCGACGGGCGAAACGCCTCCCTCCGACCCCGGCGACGCCAACCCAATCTCCAAATCCCCCTCCCCTGCACCCACCCAACACCAACACGACTAAGGATCACCACCAAAGGGCCCGATCAAACCAGACCAAACCAGACCAAAGGAATCAGTGGAGCAATACCTCTGTCGGAATCGACGGCCATGGCGGCGGCGTCGTGGTCCCCGGGGACGGGATCAAGAGGAGTCGGCGCGCAGGGGGCGGGCGGGCGGCATGGGGCAGCGGAACGGGAGGTGGGGAGACGAATCAAATCGCGAGGGGGACGGGAGCGAGCGAGGAGAGGGGCAGGGGCTCGCGTCGCGGTCTTTTGGCTGTGTGAGATGATGATGATGGAACGAAATCAATCGGAGAAGCGGCCTCCGCTTGCTCTCAGTTTCCCTTCCCCCGTCTGGTCTGTGTGTGGGGTTTGTTTATGTGGCTGGCTGGCGCCGGTTTGGTGCGCTGCGCCACCTTGCCTGACTGGCTAGAGCATTTGCATATGGGGGGCTTTTGTCGCTTTCCATCACGAATTATTATCTCCTTCTGTGTTGCACAAGACCCTGTCGCCCCCAATAACCGAAAACTAGTATTGCAGCTATGAAAAGAAAAAAAAACTGTATGAGCAGATACTCTTATTTGCAATTTTGTTTTTAGAAAAGATAAAAAAATGTATTATGATTTATGCGATTTCATGGAGAAGATGCACACGGGGACCAATGATTAAATCCACTAATCTTCCCCACGCGCTAGAAATCGCACCCATCATGAATTTTAATTCAAAACCAGTAAAGCACCCGCTCGATTGCCCTTCTCTACATCGAAATGCAGACCCCCTTAGAAACCAGTTATGTCATGATAATATAGAGTGTTGCTCATGAAACGTAGACGCCACAGCTGAGAGCAACGCCTCGAACTTCGTGCCACTATGGTTCCTTCACCTCACCGGCTACTGTGACGACCGCGGGAAGGAAGGAAACCTCATGATTTTGTTTTCGTCTGCATTTCGTAGTCTGGTATTTTAGTTGGGCCTTTGGTTGTAGAAAAAATGGCATTGGCTCTGGCAGTAGCGATGGCGATAATGTATAAGTTTTCTTCGGATTTCCCACATAAGTTGTGCTTATCTCGGTTGTTGGTATTGGATCTGGGAGGCAATGTCTACGTCGTCCCTGGTCCGTTTGATACGCATGGGCATGAGCGAAACTATTTGGGAAAGCAGAGCTCATAACTCTAAACTAATCCGACAATTAAATTAGAACACTAACACCCAAATCAAAACGCATGCCTCTACCACTATGCACGGGCGCTTCATGTATCTTTGTATTGGTGACAAGTTAATCGTCATCTTCTTTCTGTTCTTTGCGGCAGTGGTGTTGTGGGCATGCAGTGGCTTCGACGAGTGAAGGCCGACCCTTAGGGATTGTGGTGTGTTCCCTCAATCGTTCTTACGGGAGATGAGGTTATAGCCGCCTTTTGTCCCCTTTAATGTTTTCCTAATGCGGTAGATTGCTCTCTGGTGGTTCTTCTGTCTCAATGTTGTTCTCTCTGACATTGCCAAGGTGGTGGGAGTGTTATCCATGAGATTTTTTCGATAATGGAGTGTTATTTGGAAGATAGTTTGGCTTTGGTTTTTCGATCTACACAAGGCTTATATGATGGTGGCTTCTTCTCCGGGGCGTTGCTCCAGCTGGACCTTAGCATGAAGACTTCTCGACTGTAGGATACAGTGTCATGCCGGCTCCGATGATGGAGCTGATGCGGCAGCGCGCCTGTGGCTCGTGCTGGGGATTGAATTTGTCTATCTCTCTAGGAACCTGGCTTGTTTTGGGGATAACTTGTATCAGTTAAAGTTTTTAATATAAACTCAAAGGCTTATTCACAAAATATGGCCTGCCAACAACATACTTGTAAACTGGACCTACTACTCATGATAAAAATTACAAACTCATAAGGACACGACAGTCCCACAAAGTTTTGTGAAGCTGGTATAACACAACTGCACAAGCCAAGGAGTAGTCACCTTGTTTATGATTAGCTGCTTCTAGTCACTACTTATGTTGTTTATTTTTTTGGCAAAAGACCATATATTAAGTACCATAAAGCCTTCAAAAAACACCATTATAGAAAACTGAACATATACATCAAAATCATTGACGGTGTCGGAGTCTTCTTCCTCATACATCCACCGAAGGCGTGTTGTGAGCAAAGCTCGTTGACACCTCTCAGCCTTGGTCTTACCAGACCAAACTTTTTTAAACCAAGGACCTGTAGAAGTAGTGACTGAAAAGTCATCGATGTAGACTAATAAATGCTGGAGGCTGCAATCTGTGTAGCAAATCCTCGCGCCGGAGAAGAAAATCATGGAGAGGGCATGTAGAGTGCACTAATTCTGGCAGACGGAGTTAGGGAACACAAATCTTACACACTCCTCGGCGAGGCCAAGGCTGGCCAACCTTCTTTGGTTCGACCTAGAGACGGAGAATCAAGACACGTAACCAAGTTGTTCGCTCCACAATACAGCATGATCGAGACAAACCTGCAGAAAAATGGCAAAACAAGAGAACCAAATCCGACATCACACCATCTTCCACAAGCCTCCTAAGGTTAAGAAAAAACTACATTGAAACAAGGGTGAGGCGGAAATACTTTATTCCATGCGGGCATTGACATCATCATCATCATGTAGCCATAGAACTAATTTTTTTATTCCTAACCTACCACTACCGGATCAAAGTCTTGGGGTCCCCCCCTAGCATCATCAAAGTGACAGGCGAAGGGAGAGGGAACCCTCAGATGCGGTGGAGGGTAGCAGGATAGATTGGTGGATGCCGCTTGTTGCCTAGTTCATAGAGCATGAGCATAGACTATAATGTATCTACTTAAGTCGAATCGACTCGATTAAGCCACTCAAGGCATAGAGAGTGATTGGTGTTTTACTTCTGTCATTATTAATAAAAAAGCTAAAGCATATGATATGCCGACCACTTTTGAAAAAAAACTTGTGCAGAACAATGAGATTAAAATTCCAGCTCACTAGGAATGCATGGGTTCGCTGGGAATGGCTCAAGAGGATGCAACCCAAGTGACCTTGGTAGGGTATTCCCATGGTTCTGGATGAAGCATCTTGCGGGATGTTCAACATCTTGGCCTATATTAAGAGGGGATGTGGTTCTGAAGTGTAGTTCTAGACAAATAGATGGATCAATGGTCTTGCCATGGTGGATCTCGCACCTTTGGTGGTGGCTAAGGTTGGGGAGCATGCGAGGAAAGTTTGTGTCGTCCACAGGGGCTCTGCAATCGTATGTGAAGTACGGAAGTTGTGGATAGTTTTCTAGGCAGGAGAGAAAGAGAGCAATATGACAAACCATGGCTTGCCATCGGAGCTACGTCTAGAGATGAGGAAGGGTCTGGTGCTTGTACCTGGCCTTGGTTGGCATCCGGAATCACTACAAAAAAATACACTTCCGTGATGATACGTGTTTGTCACAGCAGGTCGCGTTTTCTGTCATGCATGTACATCCATGACGATTTTATGACAGAATCAAGATAGTCATACCTGTGCTGTTGTAGAAGTGTTCCATGACATTACCAAAATTATCATCACGGAAGTGTCCACTTCCATGACGATAAATCACGCGTCATAGAAGTGCTTTCGTCAAGGGTGACCGACACGTGGCATCCACCGTAACAGAACGCCGTCAAGCTATCGGGTCGGGTTTTGGATCCGATAACCCGTTAACAGCCCCGACCAATGAGGATTTTCCACGTGTAAAATTATCATTGGCTGGAGGAAACACGTGTCGGCTCATCGTTGGGACAGATGTCATCTAATCATTGGACAGAAGGCGCCTATGATACGTCGACACGTGGCACGGCCCAACAGAGGCCCATTCCTGTGAAAATGCCGGCCCGTTTGACTTGGTCAAAAGGTGGCGGGCCGGCCCATGGAAAGCCTGTTAACGGCCTGTTCGCATATAGCCCATTTACAGCCCGCTAACCCAAGGCCCGTTACGCCCTATCCAAATGAGGCCCAGTAGCGTCATCTGGGTCATCCAATATGATTCCAGCCCGATTTCACTTCTGGCCCATGTATGGCCCATGATGTCTTTCGGCCCATATGAGGCCCTTTGTAACTCTTGTCCCATTAACGGCCCGTGGTGAAACTGGCCCGTAATGAACACTGTATCACTTTACACCCATTAACGGCCCGTGCTGAAACTAGCCCGTAATGAACAGTGATCACTTTATACCCATTAACGGCTCGTTATTCCGTTGGGCCGTTTCCAGCCCATGTTATCTTTCGGCCTTCTCAAAGCCCATTTATTCTTGGGCTCATTTCCAGCATTCGTTTACTTACGGTCCGTTACTGTCATTTTTTGCTTGTGGGCCAAATTCAGCCCGTGGTTACAGTCGACCCGTTTGTGGTCCGTTAATACGTTGGGCCGTTTTCATAGCATCATCAAATACGGCCTATTAACGATGGCACGTTATGGTCGGCCCATGAACAGACGATTCCAACTCTAGCCCGTTTATGGCCATAATGTGGTCTGTTTGGCCCATGTTTGGCCAATCGATCATACGGCCCGTATAAGGCCCATTGATGATACGACCCGTAGAAGGCCCATTGTTTCTATGACCCGTAGAAGGCCCATTGTTTCTATGGCCCATAGAAGGCCCACTGTTTCTACGGCCCGTAGGAGGCCCAGTGTCACTACAGTAAGTATTAGCCCATGGTTATTGTGGCCTAGTTTTAAAAAATAGGTTATTGCAGCCACTAGCAAACCACGGAAAAAAACTGCAATGACTACAAGCAAACAAACAAACAAGACAAGAAGGAAATAAATAAGCAAGCAACTAACACTAGGCTATCACGGCTATTACACATATTACATCCACTGGGCATCAAAGTTCGCCACCAGAGCAAATATAGGGAACAAAGCAGCATATCATATACACTGGTTGTCAAAGTTGGCGACCAGCGCAAATAAACGCCGCAGCAAAACAAATCCACAACTGAAACCACTTCAGAAGATCTCAAGAAACAATATCTTGGGTACCCATAATGCTGGCAAGATGCTTAGCAAGCTTATTAACTTTCTCTTGTTTGGCACTTAAATCCTCCAGCGCTTGTTGTTGCACCAGGAAATATGCATCTGAATTCTAAAGGAA